AGAGCCGGGTGCTCCCCGTGGCCATAGAGAGAGCCATCCTCGGCACCTCGGGCTCCGAGATGCCCTGGCCGGATGTGCTCGGGCTCGTTTCGCTGGAGGCGTCCTCGCAGCCCTGGATTCCGGGATGTGGTTGGGACTCAGGCCCGCTTCGTCTGAGACACCCTCGGAGCCCCAGGCTTCGAGGTGCCTTGAATTGAGGTGATCTGGCCCGCTTCGCTTGAGACGTCTTCACCCTTCTGGGTTCCAAGATGTGGTTCGAGACTCGAGAGGTACCTTTGCACATTTCGCCTGAGACATCCTCGGAATCCCTGGCTCTGACCGTTCGGCCTGAGACGTCCTCGCAGCTCAAGATGCATTTCGCGAGGTGCTCATGCCCTTTTCGCTTGAGACATCCTCGGGACCCCGGGCTCGGAGGTGCCTTGACTTGAGGTTCTCTGACACGCTGGGCCTGAGACATCCTCGCAATTCACACCTCTGGGATCCGAGATGCGGCTCGCGTGGTACTCTGGTCCGTTTCGCCTGAGACATCCCTGTGTTCCAAGATGTTCGCAGGTACTCATGCCCGTTTCGCCTGAGACATCCTCCGAACCCCGGGCTGTTGCGAGATGCCCTGAATTGAGGTGCTCTGGCCCGTCTCGCTAGAGACGTTCTCATAACTGGGTTCCAAGACGTGGTCCGATATGTGCTCGTGCACGTTTCGCCTGAGACATCCTCGGAATCCCTGGCTCTGCGATGACTTGAGGCGACCCAGGTGTAAGTGTGCCACGCTTAAAGGCTACATTAACGGAGTCGTTGCTGGGGTTGCCCCCGGCGCAGGGGGAAGTTGGGGACCAATGGGAAATGACAGAGCAAACGAAAAGTTACCAGTTGTATATTCCCCAAGCAGTGCTTGCACTTTGGAGGTCTGCCTTCTGTTCTTAGGAACTGAGCCGTGTGTTCGGTCTGGCGGCTATGTGGTCGCCGTCGCCGCCCCGTCGCCGCCCCGTCGGTGCCTCGTCGCCGCCCGTCGCCGCCGTCTGGATTGCACCACATAGGCTGCGCGAAAAAGCCGCGCCAGCTGCGCGGTCTGCGATCGCTCACAACATAGATTGCACCACATGTACTGCACAACATAGATTGCGCCACGTATAATGCACAAACTTATACGTTGTACCATCTACAGCCAACGCGCGTACTAAGACGCGCTCCTTTCCTACGATACCCCTTGTGCCCTTGGCTCTGAGGCCCGTCTTTGCCGCTTCCACTGGCCAGCTTCTCCGGGTACCTTGGTGTGTCGGTCGCCCGTCGCCACAAAAAAAACATGTTTGATTTCAAGGATATTGCGTCTTTTTTGAAGAAAACATGATCTCGCGTCTTTACCATCCGTCCGTTTCATACGTTGTCACTGTATATTGATTGCACCAAACCGATGGCACATCCTGAGTGCGCAACCACATAGCTTGCACAATGCATATATATATACACAACAGAATGAGGATCTACCCCCCCTCCCAGGATTACTCGTGTGTTTGTCTCCATTGCAATTCGGCGTTTCTGCTCCATCGTTCGTGCCAAATCTGATCCATACCCAGCCCGTATCGACACGTCCGAACAACTCGTGCAATAAAAAAATGTTGCGCGCGCACTCATTTATCACAAACGAACAGCTTCCAATAATCCCTTGCAGCTGGTATCATGACGGAGTGCACACGCGCACGTTGTCGCATTCGCATGCCAGAATCTTTCAAACAAAAACTTAGGAGTCGCAAGGATTGCAAACTCGAGCGCCCGAAAACGTTACACAAAGAACGCATGGTGTTGCAACATAGTTTTTAAACAAACAAATTGCGCGCGCAGTTTCGACTTTTTAAAAACTATATGTTCCAACACTTTCATCCGATTCGATCAAGCGGGCCTCGCTTGCGTGTGTCAGAATCATTCGAACGTCAGTGCGCGCGTAGTTGGGGGAGCACGATCCCTTTTCAATCAAAGCATACCATGCGGGCCACTCGCCCCCGTCGGCCGCGTGCGCATGTTGAGATATTCCCAAAGTGTTCATCACCGACGCGCGGACACCATCATTGTCGTCTGCGTGAGCAGCATCGGCGCCGTGATTGGCCTTGCCGTTGCATCGTCATCATCGTCACTAGCATTGCTACGAACACCATCGTGTGTGTGTGTCGTCGTCGACGATCATGCCACCAGGTCCGCCGCCCGAGTCACCAGTTCGCACTGAAGGGCCCGCGCGTCAGCGCTGCCTGCGAGACGCGCTGGGGAGCTCCCAGCGGTCAGCGCAACCGCGGCCGCGTCGGTCTCGCCAGACTAGCTGGCCGCTCTGCGCGCGAGTTTGCGCTCGCTAGCTCGGCCGCAGCGAAGCGCCAGCCAGCGCCAAACGGCCATCACAATCACCGAGGCACGGGTTTTTCAAATCAAGCTGCGGGTGGGTGGAATGATTGCGCGAGCAGCGGAGTTGGCTATCTCAAGTTCGGCAGGGTGGATTTCTTCGCATAGAGTGCACAGCAACGATTCCACTATCTAGTAGAACATTGGATCAACCCTCCCGATCCGTTCGCTTTGGGGGTGTGCAACCTACATACGATTCTGCTCAATCGTTCATTCGAAATATGAGTTCGTACCATCCCAGCCAAACTGGTATCGACCTCCCCTTCATACCTTGCAGGAAAACACGATGCGCGCACTCACATTTATCTGAGTCCCGCAGTTTTCAATAACCCCATTGCAGGAGAGAGGGGCGACGTGCACACGCGCGCGTCGTCGCACGCGCGCATGCAGGAATCTGTCATACACTTCGCGCTCCGCAAGCATATCAGCATCGAGTGCCCCGAAAGCGCATTTTAAACAAACACGGTTTTGAACCGTGACGTTTCAAACATGAGGTGGTTCACTTTGTTCATCAAATGTGACAAAACGGGCCTCTCGCGCGTGCGCATTTCAGAGTCATTCGAATGCCCTTGCGCGCGTGCTGGGGGGGAAGGGGGGCACGATCCCTGTCGTACCATGCGGGCCACTGACGCCCGCCGGCCGCGCGCGCGCACGTCGAAACCTTTTAAACCCACCATCACCGACACGTGGACACTAACTTCGCCATCGGCGTGGTCATCATTGGCGCCGTGATTGGCTTTGCGTCACCAGCATCGCGCTTATCATCATCGTGTCTGCTTTTGTCGACGTCGCCATGATACCGCGCCCGCATGAGCTACAGACTCGCATTGAAGTGCCAGCGCGAAAGCGAGGCCTGCGAGACGCACAGGGAAACGCCGCTCGGTCGGCGCAGCCGCGGCCGCGTCGGTCGCGCCAGGCTTTGCCCGCGAGCCCTTGCGCGCTGGCGCGGCCGCAACGAAGCGCCAGCCAGCGCCAAACAGCCATCGCAATCGCCGCCGCATGGGTTTTGAAAGCATGGTGCGGGTGGGTGGGATGATTGCACGACCAGTGGATTTGGCATTTCAAGTTCGGCAGCATTGCACCTCATAGGTTCCCGCTTGTAAGAGCAAATGTATGCCACCACGCTCCCGAGGGTGGACTTAACGCCCCAGCCTGAGGATATGCAGTTTACATATGATTCTGCCCCATCGTTCATTCCTGGCGGAGGTGGGTGAAATTCTTTGCCTTTCCGCTGATTGGCCGAACGCATAGATCTGCATTGATCTGACTGCATAAAGGGGGACCGTTTTTGACAACATTTTTAAAACCGCCCAGGCGCAACCGCAACCGCAACCAGGCGACATCTTTCAACCCGCCCGCGGGCGCAACCGCAACCGCAACAAGGCGACACATTTCAACCCGCCCGCCCGCAACCGCAACCAGGCGACATATTTCAACCCGCCCGCGGGCGCAACCGCAACCGCAACAAGGCGACACATTTCAACCCGCCCGCCCGCAACCGCAATCAGGGGACACATTTCAACCCGCCCGCGGGCGCAACCGCAACTGCAACCGCCGCCACGCGACACATGTCAGCCCGCCCGCGGGCGCAACCGCCCGAGGAGCACGAGGTGCAAGAGCACGAGGGAGAGAAGGAGGAGGAAGGAGAGGAAGAATAGGAAGAGAGTGAGTGAGAAGAGGAGGATGGGCAGGACGGCCAGGAGGAGGAGGGAGACAACGACGATGAGGAGGAAAATGCAGGGGTTGTCGTGTTTCAGGGGGTTGCAGAAGCAGGTGACGGTGGAGGAGGAAACCCAATGGCACGATAGGAAGATGGAGGGCCTGAAGGATGAGACAGAGGAGGAGTCCGATGAGCAGGACGAGGAGGAGGAGGAGGAGGAGGACGCGTTGCCCAGGGTTCTCCGCCGGGGCGTTGCAGCAGGGAAACCCCATTCCACTCTGCTGCCAATAATTGTAAATCTGAAATCATATGATCCCAGCCGTCAAGGGCCCAGCTGGACGGAGGAGGAGCGGAGGGGGGAGGGGGCAAGAGGGGGAAGGACAAGGAGAGGACGGACAGGGGGAGGGGGAGGCGGACGAGGAGGAACAGGCGAGAAAGCAGGAGGGCCCTCGTGTGGACGTGTTGACTCTTGGGGTAATTGCACGGTATTGGGGCCGTCTCGCGCCTTCTTGGATCCCTCTCGGGCTGTCTTGGAGTTGTCTTGAGGGTGAGGGCTTCTGTGGCCTTGTTGGGCCCTCTTGGGGCCATCCTGGGACGGTTAGTTTCCTCTTGGGGGCTTCTTCTAGTATCATCATCAGAGTCATCAGCACCATTATTGGCATCATCGTCTTACCAGTTCCTAACCGTACCCACGGCACCGTTATCGTCATTATGACCGTTCTCACTACCTTCGTCGTTTTTACAAGCATGTCAACTGTTCTTACTGTCTCTCAACATCGGTAGCTTCCTCTGGACTTTCCCAGCGATGCTCCGCCGGGACACTGCTGCGTGGAACACCCGCCGCTCAGTGCTGCTGCCTTGGACCAGAGGGCATCTCTGATTGGGGTCGCCCTGGGCTCACACTCAAGGTGTGGGAGTCGAAGAACTGCATCTTCCTCAAGCGGTCCATGGCGGGGGGCTACGCCGACCTGGAGAACCCCGTGTTCTTCCTCGAGAACACGCAGATGCTCCTGGGCGACGGCAAGAAGAGCTGCGAGGAGATCGCGGCCGCGCTCCGCAAGATGTGATTCCAGCCACCTGGCCGCTCAACGCGCACCCTGGGAGCCCGCAGCCCCCAGCCCCAGGGATCTCCCCTCCCCCTGCCCCTACAGCGGAGGCCCATGCCAAGAAGCTTCTTGCTTGCCTCCAGAGTGCCCTGGGTCTCCCGGGTTTCGACGGTTCTGCGATGGAGCGCCCGACGCCCCCACACCGAGCATCGATGGCCGCCCTGGGGTCTCGGGGTTGGGCTTCCTGTGGAAGGCTCCCTGGTGGTCGGGTCCCTTCTCCACCTGTCGGATCGGACGCATTTGAGCAACCTGAGGAACTGGCAGCATGCATTCGGCACGCCGGCATTTGAGCAAACCTGAGGAACCTGAGCAAACCTGAGGAACTGGGGGCCCCCCCCCCCAAAAAAAAAACCTGTCGGATCGGACGATAGGGGGGGGGCTGGGAAGGGGGGGGGGCGGTCGAAACCCGCGGCGCACAGCTGGCTCGGGCCCCGCCGTCCGGCGCCTGCCCTGGAACACCTCGGCGCCTCTGGTGCCCGGGGGGCGCCGCCGAAGGCCAGCTGCGCACCAGAGCTGGCTGGCTACCCCCCCTTTGCGAACGCCCCCCCCCCCCCCCCTCCTCCCCTCCTCCTCCCCTCCCCCTCCCCCTCCCCTCCTCCTCCCCTCCCCCTCCACCTCCCCTCCTCCTCCCCTCCGCCATCTGCCTCCTCCCCCGGCCCCGGCTTCCCGAGCAGGAAACGGTTCCCTTTGGCACGAGGGGGTGAGTGCACGTGGGGCGGCCGTCGGCCCTCCTGAGGTGGTCCCTCGTTTTGGGGGGGCCGGGGCTCCCGTGCGGACCTCGTGTTTGTTGGGGTAGGGCCGTCGCCGCGCGTTCCCCTCCTGCTCAGATCTCCTGGTTTGCAGCGCTGCCAACTTGCGGCAGTCACACACACACACACCCACACACACGCACCCACACGCACCCACACACATACATACACACACACACGTGCTGGCTGGCACGTTGTGAGGCCCCTCTCGGGAGCCCTGTGGAGCCAAACGGGGCCGGCATGAAGCCGCCCAGATGTTCTGGGGCCCTTCCCCCCCCCCGTAGCAGCGTGCAGACGCCCCTCCTCATCCTCGCCCTCCCCCTCCCCCCGGGCGCTCTGCGCCCGCGTCGCCCTCGCCCGTGCTCCTCGGCACCGCACGCGGCCGCCTTTGGCCAGTCGCACTGCCGAGCTCTCTCTTCCTTTTTTCTGCTTCTCTCTCTCTTGTTTTTTCTTGTGCGTTTTCTCTATCTCTCTCCTTCTTTGTGTATGTTTTTTTTGTCTCTCTCTCTCTCTCTCTCTCTCTCTCTCTCTCTCTTTCTCTCTCCTCTCCAGTCTCGACCCGCGAGCTTTGCGCAAGGCGGGCCCAGACGCCGAGCGCCCCCGCGTCCTCTCCTGCGTCGCGAGACCGGGCACGTCCCAGGTCGTGGCGCACCAGCGCCGCACACCCCGCGCACTCCCGCTTCTAGACCAACGAGACGGATGCTCCAGGTCGCAACTCCACCGGGTGAAACCGAGCACACTCACCACGGGGGGGGGGCGGCGGGGATGAGCCGCCAGGCCCGCCCAGGATCCCGCCACGCTCCCAAGGCCCACCTGGGCCAGGGCATTCGGATGAGCTCGACGGTCCACGGGCCCCCCCCGACAACTTCGGAGGTGACGAGGAGGGCACAGCTGGCCCATGGGGAGAATATTCGACAATGACGACGCTCTCGGCCCACCATATTGTCACGACAGCGATGGAGGCGACGCGGATGACGATAGCCCACCTCCACGTCCAAGCAGGCACACGACAACAGCGACCCAGGATGCGAAGGTCCACCAAGACCCCGCCGCGGGCGCCACACTGCGACCCACGCAGGCAGCATAACACAGGGGCGGGCCGCACGGGAGGCAGTGCGGGCCTGGCCGTGCCCCCTGACACAGACAGCCACGCCTCGGTGCACAGCTGCGCCATGCAGCGCCAACACCGCCCGGGCACGGAGCCGCGCACGGCGGGCGAGGGGCCGCGGACAGCGCCCCCCGAGGGCCAGCCCCGGCGCCCCAGCCAGCTGCGCCGGCCAGCGCCGGCCAGCGCACCCGGCCCCCCGAGCAGCGCCTCCTGCTGCCAGGCATCCCCCCCCCCGCCAGGGGGCGGAGGCCAAGGGCCCCAGCGCCACCGACCACAGGGTAGGCGCCCGGATGCCACAGGTGCAGCGCACCGATCGGAGACGCGCCCGCACGCAACGCGCCGCCGCGGCCAGACCACAGCCACCCCAGGATCGCGGGCCTGCGCTGGCCACAAGCATCACGGCGCTGCAACAGCGCACCTCTGGCCTCGCGCTCACGCTGCGTAACATCCAGGAGCAGTGCAGACCCTGTCCTCGACAGGCTCCACTGAGCACAGTCCGCCTGGAGCGAGCTCTCACAGGCCTTTCGCACGCCTGCTTTCCGTGGAGCTTCTCCCCGAACGGATTTCCAGGCGCGACTTGCTGCTCACTGCCAGCAAACTAGTGCTGGCCACATCTTTTCTTTCTTTCGTGTGTTGCGACAACACCTGGTACCTTGTTCCGCAGACCTGGCATGGGGCTGCCGAGGGGATGCCCCAAGGCGGAGCCTCCTCCCAGGACGCCGAGGTGCGCATGCCCAGGCGCGCTTGAATCCGATGCCTCCCTGCAGCACGGGCGCCCAGAGGGGGCGCTCCACGTCTTCATCGCCACGTCGTTCCAGCGGTCTCCAGACAGGGGCCTCTTTTGACCGCGCCAGGGGGTTGGTTTCGGCCCCCGCCCCCCTCTGCCAGTTCTGCGCGGCCTTCCCGCCAGGAAGGCGCGGGCAGAGGGCGCTTGTCCCCGTCGCCCGTGGACCAGACCTGGTCCGAAGTGTTGCGTTTTTTGTTTTGTTTCTCTCTCTCTCTCTCTCTTGTTGTTGTTCTCTCTCTCTCTCTCTCTGTATCTGCCTTCCCTCTTTCCTTCCCTCCCTCTCCCTCTCCCTCTCTCTCCCGCTCCCTCCCTCCGTTGCCCTCCCTCTTCCTCTCGTTCTCTCTCTCATTCCCCTTCCCCCCCCTCTCCCTCCCTCCCTCTCTCTCCCTCTCGCTTCCCCTCCATACCTCTCCCCCCCTCTCTCTACACCTCCCCGTCGCGCGGCACACCGCGGCCGCCTCCTGCCGTGGACCCACGGGCGGCGCTCCGTCGCCGACGTGAACTTTTGTTATAGGTAGATTGCAAGGGCTTCCGGCCGCCGCCGTCTCGGTGCTCGAATCGCGGTTGGTAGAGGAGATGCTCGTGAACTGCCTCGTGTTTCTACAGCGAGCGGCTTGAATAAGGAACACTTAATTTTCAAAAGGGGCTCGGTCGTTCCTTGGGCTCACATGCGTTATTTACAGTTCCTTATGCGTTATGTATTAATTATCGTTCCTTATGCGTTATTCCTTGGGATAAAAAGGGGCTTCGTTCCTTGTTTATCGTTCCTTAGGTCAGGCCGATGACTGTATTCGGGAGCGGAAAAGAGGGGGGTGATGAGTAGGGGGGGTGGACATCATGGCGCGGGCCATGATTTTTCCTCAGGTTTCGTGGCGCCTCTTCTTCTTTCGTTACGTCCCAGGCCCCCCCGCTGGGCCGCGCACATGCCGCCGGTCATGATTTGCACCCCCCCCTCTTGGACACCCCCTTCTTGGCCGCTCCCGATCTATGGCAAGTCAGCGTGGTGTCACCCCCCCACCCAAGCTTTCTCATCACCCGGAGTGTGCTTTTTGCGCGAACGTTCGGTGCAATCTCGGCGTACGCAGGGCGCGCCACTCAGGGCCAGAGGGGGGGGAATCCATGAGACGCCACAGGCAGCCACGCGGCCACGGGAAGGGGTGCTGCAGAGGTCAGGGCAGGCGGGGGAGGATCCACAGGAAGCCAAGCGGCCACGGGAAAAATGCCACAGATATGGGCAGAGGTGTGGGGATGCCGCATGATGCCATAGTCAGCCATGCGGAGCGGGAAGAAGTGCTACAGGCACCAGGATGGTGGGGGGGAAACCGCAACAAAAATTACCGGCCACGGGACATACTAAAACTCCTGGGGCCATGGGGGAGGAAACCATAGGAAGCCAAACCATAACAGGAGACAGTGCCACAGAAAGGGCCATCTCTGCAGAGACCGGAATGATGAATGTTGCAGCCTCGCGGTTCACACGGTGAAAGCTCCACAGGGGGGGGCAGCGGATTAACTCAAGCGCTCGGGCTCCATTTGATAGCTGGCGCACGTCGCTGGTTCAGCCCTGGCGCGCTTCTATAAGACGATCGCTCTAGGTGCTCTTTGAAATCTGGAGCGGCCAAGTGTATTGTTTGATCGAACAAACGTCAGTCGCTCATCATGTTTGGCTCGACCAGCCAAGGAAGTTCGATTCATCAGCGATCCTCCGTGAGTCAACGAGGCGCGTTTCGAGACATCAACCATGCCGCCGATTCTGCTGAGGAACCCTTCATGGCCGATTCGTCCAGCTCTACAGGCGTCAACTTGTCGAAAGCAGCGTGGCCGTTCAAGCCCTACTCCATGCCCAGCTCTGCACAGACTCCCAGCATCCGGTTTCTTGACACCATGGGCCTCTGGAGGCCTGGATCCGCTGCCCCGGGGACGGGCTTCTCAGCCCGAGGTGTTTTTTTGTTTGACAGTCTCAGGGCCTAGTAAGGGCCCTTCAGTCCGAACATTGCGAGAAATTTGGTGACGCGAGGCCAGAATGTCTGGGTCTGCTTCTAGAAGGCCATCATCTGGGGCCGATGTCAAACACCGTTCTCACGTCCTAGCCAAAAGCGTCTATGGACACATTGGGTGGTGCCGTGACGTCCGTAGGTACGTTCGTGGTGGGTACGTCTATGGACATCGTGGCCGTTGCGTTCGGCGCGGTGGTGCAGGGTCGGAGACAGGGTAGATCCGTCTACAGTATGTTCCGGTTCTATAGCAGGTCCCACATGGCTGGGTCGCTCATGCACAGGGCTTGTCCGAGCATTCTCTCAAGGAGTTGCTTCCGGGCCTCTCCGGCACGCCTGGCTTTCCAGAGTGCAAGGACGGCTCCCCAGACCTACGTAGACCTATCAGGGCTGCTACAAAGACCTCCCAGGGCCCTGGTGCTGTGTTGCTGCCCTCCTGGAAGGAGGGTCGTGGACCTAGCGCCCCCCGCGCCCTGAATGACGGAGCGCGCTCCATGAGAGAGCCGTTTTGGCTCGAGAGGGCGGCCCGACCGGCTGAGTGCAGCCCCTCGGCGACCTCCCTCCCATTGCCGCTGTCCTTAGCCTCGCTCGCCCCGACTCTCGCGCACCTCAGCGTGCGCGCCACGCGACTTGTCCCAGACATCCGACGCCTTCTTCCGTTTCTCGAAAGGCCGGGGCCCCAGGAGGTCTGGACCTGCTCGGGGCCGAGCTCCACGCCCTGAGCCGTTTTCTGTTGGCCGGCCCTGGGGCCCGGCGAGGCCCCCCCAGAGGCCGAAAATTGGGAAGACTTGCCGCGCTCACTGTCTCGAGGCCGTAGTTTCCGCTTCACGCCAGCATGCGATTGTACTGATACTATGCGTGCGTCGCCCCCCCAGGGGCGACGCGCGCGCGCCGAGAAATCTTATAGTATATGCGTCGTGGCGGGCGCGCTCTGGCCCCACCGCTCACGAAACGACATACTACAAGATAGGTATACTATATGTTCGGGTCGGACGCGCGCCTCCAAGGAGAACACATAGTACCAGTATGTCTTTGTGCGTCCCATAGTTGCCTGGCTTCGATCGGCTGTTCATGAGTGACCTTTCTCTTCGGTAGCAAATCATGCGAGCCTTGTGTATCCTCGTAAGCTTGTTTCGTAAGTCGATTAGCGTCTGGGAGTGGATGAGACAGCGCCGTTTCGGCGTCGATTAGCGTCGATCTAGCGCCGATTTGGCGTCGACGAGTGTCGATCCTTACGAGCAGGCACGATGGTATGGGAGGCTCCTCTGAGTTGCCACCGACCATTCTCTGGAGTGACTTTTGGTGGGGGCACAGCGGAGCCCCCGGATGGCCGACTGCGGTGCGACAGCGTCGGCTAAGGGGGCGCGCTCGGAGGATCGGCCTCCCCGCGCCTCCCCCGAACAGTCGCGCGCTGGAGACCGCCTCTCGCCCGGGGTCACTCTTGCGTGCCGCCGGCTTCGACGCCGCAGCAGGTTTCAGTCGGGCATGTCCAGGGCTCGTTTCGGTTCCTCCGATTCGATTCGATTCGAGTTCGATGGTTTCCGATTCCGATTCGATTCGATCTGGGATTCCGATTCGAGTTCCGATGTCTTATTGGAGTGCATACTAGCCTGCCGATTCCTGCCGATCCGACTTTTCCCGACTCAAATGCCGATTTCCGACGATCCGATTCGTGTCGATCGCCGATCCGACTTGTCGATCCGATCCTGGGCTCTCCTGCTCTTGCGTGCCGCCGGCTTCGACGCCGCAGCAGGTTTCAGTCGGGCATGCCCCTCGACAGGAGGGATATTCAAACCTAGTCCAGCATTAGTCTGGGGACGACCTTTCGATTATGTTTTGATTATGTGTGGGTATTGTTGGACTATCTTCCATTTTTCTTCCAAACTCCGTGTGTAGGAGGACGTGCCCGACCTAACAGCAGATGGGGTCGGAGGATCGTGCGCATCGCCGATGCACGAACGATGCTGCTCCATGTGGAGCCCGAGTTTCTCCACGCCGACGCGGGTGGTGCATCGCCGACGTCGCCGATGCATCGCCGATGCATCGGTGATGCATCGGCGTTGCGGCGCGATCCTCCGACCCCATCAACTCGGACGCCATCCGGGAGGCTTCTAATTGTCAGCCGCGCGCAGAGGGGGGTAGGGGGAGAGGGGAAGGCTTCTCAGAAGCACCCTTGCTTCTTAGAAGGCGCGGGCCTTATCTATAGATGTAAGGCTAGCGCCTTCTAGGAAGCCTTCCCTCCTCCCCTTACCCCCTGTGCACGCCGCCAAAATTGATCGAGCAGGGGATCGACTCCCAAATTGATGCACCCCAAACACCTGTTTCTTCGCCGCACCCCACGAAACAATACGCAGCGTGGTGGTCGAACCTCCGAAGACGCCACATGCTCTTCTCGTAGACTCGACGGACAAATACTCCTGGGGTGCATCTATGCCGTAGCCGATCGATCCCCAGACATGCGACGTCCTGACTTTTTCGACGGGGTCCCTGGAAGCCCCGACCCTTTCCCCGGGACCGGTTTTTCATCCTGAGTCGTTTTTAACGGTCCCGAGGCCCGGCGAGGGCACCGCGAGGCCGAACATGACCAAAAGCCCCCCGGCCTGTGTTTGTTTTTTTGTTTTTTTACGACGCGGCCATGTCTGGGTGTCCAACATTCGGGTCAAGGCCGAGGCCCGGCGAGATCCCCGCAAGGCCGAAAATGGCCAAAAGCCTCCCGTCCGGATTTGTTTTACGACGCCTCGAAAAACGAGCGCCTCGAGACGGCCCCGGTCTGCCTTCGACGACGCCTCCGCGCCTCTGCCCTCGCGCGCTGCCGCGGAGTCGACCGGGCCCTCCTCCTCCTCCCCCTCCTCCTCCTCCTCCTCCTCCTCCTCCTCCTCCTCCTCCTCCTCCCCCTCCTCCTTCTCCTCCTCCTCCTCCTCCTCCTCCTCTCCTCCCTCCTCCTCCTCCGCCTCCTCCTCCTCCTCCTCCTCCTCCTCCTCCTCCTCCTCCTCCTCCTCCTCCTCCCTCTCCTCCTCCTCACGCCACGGGGGTAAAGAAGCAACGGAGACCGTATGCATCATGTAGGGTTCACACTTGTAGGGGACAGAAGGGCCCAGACCCCTCTGACTAAGGGGCTGGGAGCGTGACCCCCTTGGCACCCCAATTTAACGCAGCACCCTTCATAGACTGGGAATCTGCTAGTGAGGAGCCGACAGGACCACTTAGTGGACGTGGGGAAGGGGATTATTAAGGAGCCCGGCGAGCCGGGCCAACAAGGTTCGCCTTGCATTGTTCACATTAGTCTTGGGGCGGCCCTGAGGCTTCACAGTCGTGGGGCGGCCCTGGGGCCTGGGCTGGCGCTTTAGGGGGCTTCACAGTCGTGGGGCAGGCCATCGCCCACCAGAGAGGCGGCCACGGCGCATTCCGGGTTATTGGTGCCCCACAGTCGTGGGGCCCTTCTTGTAGCAGTAGGTGTCGATTTTTTTTAGTATTGGAAGTATCCCAGCAGCGGTACGCCACGTTGAAGCGAGAATGGTCCCCGAGTAGGACCCCACCCCCTGACACAGAGGGGAGTAGTAAGGTAGGCGCAGTAGTTGCCATGTTGATCGTGCGCAAGCCATAATGGATACCAAAGCACAATGCGATGCGGTTGTGATGTGATGCTATGCGACCCGCATTCCAGCCTTCCAGCCCTTATGCCCTATGGCCTATGGCCGATGAGGCGGTCCTCCCAGAGGGCAGGCGCATGGCACACGCAGTCCCAGCTATGGGCTATGGGACACGCAGCCCTGATTAATTAAATGGGACGCACAGTCCCTGTTATGGGACACGCAGTCCTGGCAAATGGGACGCGCAGTCCCTGCTGTGGGACACACATTCCTGGCAAATGGGACGCGCAGTCTCGATTATGGGACACACAGGCCTGGCAAATGGGACGCACAGTCCCTGTTATGGGACACGCAGTCCTGGCAAATGGGACGCGCAGTCCCTGCGATGGGACATACATTCCTGGCACATGGGACGCGCAGTCTCGATTATGGGACACACCGTCCTGGCAAATGCGACGCACAGTCCATGTTATGGGACACGCAGTCCTGGCAAATGGGACGCGCAGTCCGTGCTATGGGACACACATTCCTGGCACATGGGACGCGCAGTCTCGATTATGGGACACACCGTCCTGGCAAATGAGACGCACAGTCCCTGTTATGGGACACGCAGTCCTGGCAAATGGGACGCGCAGTCCCTTCTATGGGGCACACATTCCTGGCACATGGGACGCGCAGTCTCGATTATGGGACACACAGTCCTGGCACACGGGACGCACAGTCCCTGTTATGGGACACGCAGTCCTGGCAAATGGGACGCGCAGTCCCTGCGATGGGACACACATTCCTGGCACATGGGACGCGCAGTCTCGATTATGGGACACACAGTCCTGGCAAATGGGACGCACAGCTGGCTTGATTTAGGGCGGATTTAGGTTGAATCGGTTGAGTGTTTTTAGGTTTTTGATGCCGACGACGATTGTAATGATGGTGGTTATCAGATCGGATGATGCAAAAACAGGTTGAGTCGGTTGAGTCCGAAACCCCCGCCCTAAATCAAGCCAGGCAGTCCCTGTTATGGGACATGCAGTCCTGGCAAATGGGACGCGCAGTCCCTGCGATGGGACACGCATGCCTGGCATCTGGGACGCGCAGTCTCGATTATGGGACACACAGTCCTGGCACATGGGACGCGCAGTCCCTGTTATGGGACACGCAGTCCTGGCAAATGGGACGCGCAGTCCCTGCTATGGGACACACATCCCTGGCAAATGGGACGCGCTGTCTCGATTATGGGACACACCGTCCTGGCAAATGGGGCACACAGTCCCTGTTATGGGACACGCAGTCCTGGCAAATGGGACGCGCCGTCCCTGCTATGGAGGACGCATTCCTGGCATCTGGGACGCGCAGCCTCGATTATGGGACACACAGTCCTGGCAAATGGGACGCGCAGTCCCTGTTATGGGGCACGCAGCCCTGACAAATGGGACGCGCAGTCCCTGCGATGGGACACACATTCCTGGCACATGGGACGCGCAGTCTCGATTATGGGACACACCGTCCTGGCAAATGGGGCACACAGCCCCTGTTATGGGATACGCAGTCCTGGCAAATGGGACGCGCAGCCCCTGCTTGCTATGGGACACACATTCCTGGCACATGGGACGCGCAGTCTCGATTATGGGACACACAGTCCTGGCAAATGGGACGCACAGTCCCTGTTATGGGACACACCGTCCTGGCAAATGGGACGCGCAGTCCCTGCGATGTGACACACATCCCTGGCATCTGGGACGCGCAGGTCTTGATTGTGGGACACGCAGTCGTGGCAAATGGGACGCGCAGTCCCTGTTATGGGACACGCAGCCCTAGCAAATGGGACGCGCAGCCCCTGCGATGGGACACACATTCCTGGCACATGGGACGCGCAGTCTCGATTATGGGACGCACAGGCCTGGCACATGGGACGCACAGTCCCTGTTATTGGACACGCAGTCCTGGCAAATGGGACGGGCAGTCCCTGCTATGGGACACACATTCCTGGCAAATG